TGAACAAGCACTCATGTAGCAAAACATTCCACTTGACCGATTGACGGCTATCACTGAATTGAGGTTTCGGCTGGTCATCATGAACGCGGATATGTGAGAAGTTGAAAAATGGAAAATACTGCTTCAGGTTTTGTTCCACATGTAAAGCACTTTCAGGATCAAGGGAACATTTCTTGGATTTGATCTGCTTTTTCCCTGTACCACGTATCTTTGCATGAGCGGGATCTTGGAACATGTAAATCAGATCAGTAGTTTCTAAGTCGTCTCTCCTTGTAGTCTGACATGAAACTAATGATCTGGCAAATGGAAGTACATCTTGGGGATCTGATGACCGACGACGGCGGGAGTTGACTTTGCGGCGCTTGGTGGGACCATGTTTGGCTTCGAAGTCAGAAAATAAGGTTTTGATTTTATTTCCAATCTCTTCATCATACTTATTTGCTTGGGTTTCCCACTGAGTGAGAAGAGATTGGTCGGTGGGGGTAGGGGGGACATGAAACCAGTCAGCATTCAATTTTTCACGAAGGTTTAGAACTGTTGATGACAATTGGGCAAAGTGGGAGGTCCGATCAATTATATAATTGGGGTCATTAAAAATTTCCTCCAACTCGGACAACATTGGCTGCACGGAAGTCTGCAGATCAACAAAACGTTGGTGAAATTGGGAAAGAGCATCCTCAACAACATGGAAGGATTTCAAAAATGAAGGAACACCACGGAGTACCTTCAGGGGATCATTCTCGTCACCAGGGTCGTCGGGAAATAGAAACAGAGATAAATCTACCACGTTGGACTTGAACATATTCGTTAAATGAACATTACCCTCCATGCAAGACTGCATAGTAAACTTTTCCATGAATGTAACCACTAAGGAGTGATTGCCTTCGGATGACGGAATATAAGTCTTCACATCTGACACAAAACGTGAGAAGAGAGATTCGATTGAACTCAAAAATTCTGTCGATTTCTTCATAACCTCATCAAAATTGTTTACCAACGCTTTCAATCGGGGAATGTTGTCCTCGATGAGGGCCACTTGCATATCAGATATTTTGGTGTGATAAGAACTGGTGGTGGACATCCTGATGAGTTTGTTTCGAATGAGTAACTTGAAATGAAGTACAGTGACAATGTTTCTGTTTTATGAGATGGTTCTGGAGAAGAGAAATGCGGCAAAAATTTCCATTACAAATCTGAAATTCAAACACCACAACAGATGAAGACGGGAAACCAACATCGTGGACCTGTTAGCGTGCAGGAACACGTCTATAAGTTCTTAAAGATGTACCCATAAGGGATACAATCCAGGACTGCTTTGCACAGATGAATAGTTTGTTGAGGGTTTTTGTATCAGTTTCGGTTTTCAGTTTTTGGTTTCCGTTTCAATCCATGCAGGAGTAAAACAAAAATTTGTACTAAGTGCTGGCGTAGAAAAAAAACAAGTACGTGATTGGGAGTTGTTACTACTGACAAATGGTTGAACAACGGAAAATCTGGTTGTTCGTCAAACAGACATGGGTGCCTGTCACAGCGTAACAACCCCTCGCGACCTTTCTTGAACGACAACATCATGCTCCCAACCTYGCAGAATAACTGTGGAACAAAAACGCAACCATAAACACGTGAATCGGAGGGGGATGGGGTGGGAAAAAAAAGGGGGGGGGGTTCGGAATACAAAATAAAGGGACGCTAGGGCACGTGATAGGTTGCGATCACTTTTTGTGACGTACTTCAGATACAGTACGTACGTATCCTTTCCAGTACGTACGTATCCATTGCAGTGGATGATACTACTAGTAGTACTACTGGGATCAACATAGGTCTACTACTATGGTGATATCATACTACTACTAACATTCGATACTACACTACTACTACTAGTAGTAAATTAACATTTGGAACCTTTTTTCTAAGATTCCAAATGTTAAATTAATGTTCTGAACAATGCCTCAGCCAATTGATGTAATTTCAATTGTTGTTTCATGCATAGTAGTAGTAGTAGTATGTTATAAACTGTGAAGGAGCTTGCACAGCACATGCACCAAAAATGTAACCAGAAATATACCTGTCGTGGAGGTCCATGTTATTATCTTGATGGAACAATTTTGTAGTAATGGGCATTCTTGACTTAGGCTCAAGAATGTGTGTAGGGCCTTTTGAAGGGAGTTATATTTGCACAAGGGTGATGTGGTGGAAGATCAGGCATGATAACAAGGGGATGAGTATATGATTTTCCAACAAAGCAGATGACACCACCATCTACTAGTAATGTGATTGATTTTTGTTTATGTTTGTGGTGATTGGTACATCATGATTGGATGGTGATGGTATTGGAATCATAGAATTTGTATATTGTGGTGCTAGTAGTGTAATTTGAAGGTGAAGACAAGGATCTGAGCAAATGATGTTGTCTTCAAAGATAAGTGTTGATGACAGGTCAGGGGAGTTGTAGTATAGTACACATTGGATTCTTCTGATGTATCCCTTATCCTCAGCAGTGGTGGCTGCTGGTACATGAACAATATATCCTTCTTATGGATGTGGATATACACCAACAGCAGTAGAGTGGTGGGCGTGAACAAGTGTGAATTGGCATGGGAATGTTTTAATGTGGTATGATTTCTTGTAGTTGTGCAGATGAATATCAATGAGGTTTGTACATGTTCTTAAATCAGCACCTGTGTCAATTTGTGATCTTATTCTTGTAGTGATGTTGGCATTTGAGACTTTTACTTGAGACATCTTTCAAAGATTTGACATGTACAGTTTTGATTTCTGATTTTAGAAGTGGCTGATATAGAGTGTCAGGACCTTCTTGAATTTTGGTGGAGAAGTTCTGATGCAGATAGCTATATAGTAGTTGCACCTTGTGTGGAAGGTACTAAGGTTGGGTTGTATGATGCATGACAAGATGTGTTGCTGGAAGGGATCAAGGGCATTTGCGTGATATTTGATGCATTGTTGAGCATGTGGAGAACTGGTGTTGTTGTTGTTGAAGGGTGAATATTGCATGAAGACAGGGGGGAAACACCAGGGTTGGGAGTATCCGCCCTAAGCAAAATCTAAATTTTTGTCAGTGGTGTCTGAGGGTGTTTCATTTGAGGAAGATTCATCAATAATCATTTGCTATTCTTCATCTTCAGTTTGGACAAGTTTGGTTGTTCACTTGCTTTTTGCCCCTGTGGATGCGGTATCTGCTGACAAAACTTGATGTGGTTTTGTTGGATAACATCTTAGTTTCTTACAATGGGGCAATATTCAAATTTATGGTTGGACTTTTCATTTGTCATCATTTCACATACAAGACAAGATTTGTGAAAAACTGAAGGATCAGCCTTCTTGAGTTGGTGGATTTGTACCAAGTACTAGTAGTAGGCAAGTTCAAGATCATCCTGGTCATGTTCAATTATTTGAATTTGGTTGGCGGAGATAGGTTGAGGTGTGACATCATTTGGTGTGTATGATGGAAGAAACAAATTGAATTTGCAATTTGATGTTCTTGTCACAAAGGCAGTTCAACTTGGCTTTTTTGGTTGGTTTAAGAATTGCTGAACTAGAGTAGTGATAAAATTTCAAGGTTCAAATTTGTAAAATCTTCTTCCCAATGTATTTCAGTTTTTAGAAATGAGGAGTATATCTGTTCACAAAGTGTTTAAGTAGTAAAACAATCATTGGTGGTGATTCAATGAGTAGTTTGATTTTGCACATAATTGATTTGAGTTCTTCATATCCTTGCTGTCCATCGTGGGGTTCAATAATGTTATTATTTATTGTCGAAGGTAAATATGTTGTGAATGACGTCCCAAATGATTTGTGAATTGATATTAATTTTTCAAATGTTGGGTGAATATCATTGTTGGCATCTATATCAATTGTGAATCCACTTGGGTGATTGCAAGTTGGTCAAAAGCATGAATATGGGTGGTGACAGTATTTGTCAAATCTGGAGCAGTAGGCTGTGAAGCATGTGTACCACCAGTTGTGAACTTCATGTGCTATGGAACCATTGAATTTTTTTTGGTGGTAGAAAAGTTCTTTCTTTTACTTTGTGGACCAAGGTCAATGTGAACAAAATACCAACTATCACATGTCCCAAAGCCAGTGGCGAGGTATTGTGGGTCACTGTGGTACATGCGAGTCACATTTTGGGTGATATTTACCAAGGAGGGGCTGGTTGTATTAATCAATGACTTGCTGCTGTGGATATTTCAATGGCACAAATGGAGTGATGGTCAGACCATGGGTTTTAGGTTTGGGCACAAGATGTTGGATCATTTGACATTGTTGAGAGAAAATGGCACAGATGTAGATATCAAAGGAGAATTTGGTGGCATCAATATAGATGGCAGACCAGTTGACCTTAAGGTAAAGGGTGTCACTTTTCTGTTTGCCACAGTAGGTGAAGCAACGGCTGAGCATGTGAGCACTTGTCAACAGTCTAGTAGTCAGTCTTAGCATACAAGCCCGTCAGTCAAGTCTTGGTGGTGATGAGATTTATCATCACTAGACATGTCAACAGTGTAAACTGCATTGTTTTTGATTTTGGCAACATGCTGGAGGTGTTTGATTGATTTTGAGATTGATGGGTGTCAAGATTGATGCTGACACCAACAATGGAGAGTGTCATTCAACTGATGATTGGGTCTGAAAAAGAAGGATGTTGCATATGTGAGTGTCATCATGAAGGTGAATATGGATAACCATTTTGGTTGGGGCAGTGAGGCTTGTTGATCTTGGTAGTGAGGGTCAACGCCCCTAGTGAGGTCAATGTGACTTGGTGTGATTCATATCAAGAATGTGAGGGTAGTTGCATGGGGTAGAGTTCTGTACCCGACATGATAAGTTCTTCTGGTTTTGGAGTTCCAATAGTATCTAAAAGACTGGAATCCCTTTGAGCACGGGGCTGGCTTTTCCAGAAAACACCTGGATTACATAAGTTGCTATTGTCGAAGATGCTAGTTTAATGATTGCATTCTAATATACAATTTTTTTCTCATGCGACTCTCATATCAGATTTATTGTGGATATGAGTATTGTCCAGCCGACTGACATCACCAAAAGCATCTTCCCAAAAGAATGGGGATTTCTAAGAAGAGTAAGGGCACCACTAGAAGCAGGCGTTTCATCGTAAACGAAAGTAAAAGTTGACTCATTGCCAGCCAATTCGGTTGTAGGACCGTCGCGGCCTGCAAATGTCAATGACGGTGGGTCGTTGCCACCAGTACTACTGGTTCCAATCGGTGCCGAGTTCTCTGACACCGATTCTGATCTTGCTGAGATGGGCTGTGACGGTGGAGTTGTAGACAACTCGGAAGAAATCTCGGTCGGATTTGAGGACGGTATTCTGGAAGGTTCAAAAGTTGGATAGCTGGTTGGTATATCCGTCAACACTTTAGAAGAACTCTCGGTGGGCCAGCTTGTTTTTGTTCGAGTAGAAATCCAAGTGGTTAAGTAGGTTGGATAAAACGTCGGTAACGCAGTTGTTGGCCGCTCAGAGGGTGACCTTGTTGGAAAATTTGAAGGATTCGCAGTGGGGTTTTCGGTCGGTCTTTTCGAAGGTCGAAATGTCGGGTTTTGGGTTGGTTTATTTGTTGGACTTTCAGTAGGCAATCTAGATGGTGAACTAGTTGGTATTCTAGTGGGTGTTGCTGTTGGATTGAGCGTTGGAAATTCAGTCGGCCACTCAGTTGGATCTTTAGTTGGTGATCCAGTCGACGTTTGTGTTGGATCCGGGGTAGGCGATTCAGCCTCGGTTGACGGTGCTGAAGATGCATTGATTGGCGTTATAGTTGGCGTTGCGCTTATCGAGTCGGCGGGTGCTGAAATTGGATTGAGGGATCCTGTTAACTCAACTCGGGGCAGCAAATCGTCATTCAAGTTAATTCCATCCGCATTCAAGTTAATTCCATCCGAATTCTCATCGACGATTATTATGACATTTGGTTCAAATGTGGATAGATTCGAACGCTCCTTCGTTGGGGAGGAGGATGGTGAATTTGTGGGCATTGTCGTGGATGCTTCTGTTGGTGGACTTGTGGGCACTGTGGGAAGAACGTGGGGATCACTGGTGGCCGAGTCGATAATTGAGTTGCCAGCTCCGTAACCCGAAATTATTTCTACCTCATTTTTTTCAGAATCCATGTACGACGCAGAAAACTTGCTCAGCCCATTGTTGCCGATGCTCCAAAGAGTAAATGTAACGTTTGATCCGGCAGGTAACGAAACGACTTGCTCGTGTTGCGAGTAAGGTGTTATTGATTCATACTCCAAGCTATTATGATGGATTAAAGATTCCCGGGTTGTTGCATCTACGAAAGCCCAGCTGATTCGGTTTGGGTGCAGATTGAAGTCGATACGGACGGTAATATCAATCAATGGTCCTCTTTCATTCAAACTAGGATAGCGATCACATTCAAAATCAGCTGGCGGTTGATCCGAAATGGCACAAACACTAGATCGAATCCAAGTGATTTCGTGGCTAATTCTCGAATACACTGTAGATGATAGAATTTAGAATATCACGTCACAGTATGGTGAGAAGTTTGCAAGTGGTAGATTTGGTTGAATGCAGTATCTTCAAGTTACAACAAGATTGAAACAATTTACATTTTGATACTCACCGCCTGGAAAATTCGGCATGGCACAACCGAATCCCCACGATACGACCCCAACTTGGACGTCTTCTTCGGCGGAATTTCCCTTCATTATTACTGGACCACCGCTATCCCCTAGTTTATGGTAAGAAAATAAAAGATATAAATTGCGCGTAAGTTCTTCATCGCTTCTTCAACTTCTCATCATGAATACTTTGATCCAACAAAGCCACCTCTCTTAGTTCTTCTTTTCAACCATGACGTCAAAGAGCTTACCGCTACACGCATCTTTTCCACTCTCGCTCAGGTCAGCCAAGCAAAACATATTGTCAAATATTAACCCTTCGTATCCGATTTGAAAGTCTAGAACATTCGAATAAGGATCCCTAGACTCTTCACAAACGTCGTTCGAAATCATGTTTAGGTTTACTTCTTGTATTGTGTCTGCCGCGTATCCGTGGTGGGTCTTCCCAAATCCTGCAACTGTAACAACGTTTTGCGCCGAACCCTGACTCACGTCCGGTAGTTTCGGATCATCATTCAAACGAATGGGTGGCTTTGCGGATGTGTCTCTCAATTTAAGAAGTATCAAATCGAAATCAAATGTTTGTTGAAAGAAATACGGATGCCTATAGGAATAAAGTATCCTGTGAAGTTCGTCACCGTCGCTGTAGGTGTGTCGAAAATGGCGTCCCACTCCAACCCATACCGGAATTTCACAGTGTGCAGCAGTCAAAATAACATCAGGGGCGATCAAAGTACCACCGCAGTAACCCTTGCCCGTCTCGTGCATCAACAGCGCGTGATAGGGATATCGACCAAAATCGGAATTTTGGCCATTGATGATGAACTTTTTAAGGCCATGTGAGGTATTTTCTTTCACACTATGTTCCATCGGACGCAGTTGACGTAGATTTCTCGCCGTGTTGTTGTTTGCCCCAACATCATTTACCGTTAGTCCTGCTATCAGAATCAAGAATAACGAATGAATCGATTGGATCATTTTACGAGTTGAGCGAAGGCAATGTGCGATTAAAGCACAGAGGCTTTCTTCGTCTGCTACGTATTAACTACTGGAAAAGAGCAAGGGCATGAAATACAGAGGCTCCTAGTTTTTCATCTCCGCGGCTCTATCTTCAATTTTGCATCAACGAGGGAAGCCGATGTGAACTGAAGTCCAGTCGAAAGTGGCACTTTTACTGTTATATATGTTAGCCATCTCAGTGTTACCTTATGAAACCGAAATGTTTTTGTTTGAAGATAGGGAACTCGCATCTTAAATTAGCGTATTTGATGCATTTTGAGAAGCGGCGATAAGTCGTGTGAACGCGACCTTAGACATATATGTAGATTTTTATTATTGCTTGAGTTCGCCAACCAAACAATTTTGTCGGTCACGTTGTCCGTCGGAACTGAAAACTCCGAAGGGTCGAATGGTCATTGTGAAAACGTATATTCAAGGCAGTTTTATTTTTGTGAAAAGACCACATCAGCGAGTCTTTCCTTCCGTGAAGCATTTGTGGAATTCAACTGAAATACAGTCCGTGTATAAAAAGTACGTACTGAAAAAAAGGCGTAGATATAATCCCTTTTACTTTCGAGTTGGACTCAATTAATGGTAATGTGAAAAATGGGCGCCCAAACCTTTAGTACGCACGTACGTACTGTTGCTTATTACAATGCCCGCCCTTGCTGGGAAGTTAAAGGTTATTCCCGTGCAAATGCTACTAGAATTTTTTTGGTCATTTTTACACGGCCCTCAGGAACCCACGCGCATCCCCCCTTTTTGAATTCCTCCCCTAGAAAAACGTGGGTTATTTTTCACAAAAAATAACCCACGTTTTAGAATTGTGGGTTATTTGATGGGAAAGATAACCCATGTTTCTAAAATGTGGGTTATTTTATTGGAAAAATAACCCACAAAAAAACCATGAATAACCCACGATATAAGAGTCATTCTTAGGGTTAGAGGAGAACCAAGGACATTAGGTATTTTAGTCATTACTACTAACACCAATGTAAATTTATCAATGTTTTTTGGTGTTCAAAAATAGGACCAGCAGATTTGTGGGTTATTCATGGGTTAACGCACAAACAAAATGTGGATTATTTTGTGGGTGATTTGTGGGTTAACCCAGGAACCTACTAGTAGTAGGAACCCACATTTTAGAATCGTGGGTTATTACATGGGAAAAATAACCCATGAAATCATGCCCCCAATGTTGGATTTCAAAAGGGGGATGTGCGTGAAGGCCCAGTTAAAAACTGATAAAAGAAGCATCCAACAGCTGGATGAAAACAAAAATATTTGGTGTTGAGTAAGTAACGTTTTACACAAATCGTAAACATTTGAAACATTCCTAACGTGTATCCAATTTGAGACACACAATATGTATGATTTGAAACCACAAAACAACTTCTTAACTCATGGCAAATGAAGTCTTTGTACTTCCTCCTCTTCTTGTTAGACCTCTACTCATCTTCAAAAGCATCCTCGCCATCTACTCCAGCCAGCTCAATTGCTGCCAAATTAACCTCCTTCTCAAACCACTCCCAGTGTTTAGATACAAAGAATACTTTTCCTGCATACTCTGGATCCAAGCAGGAGCGCCTTGCTCCTGAGAGGAGTCTGGAAGCTTGACTGAAGACGCGCTCAGAAGGAGGGGCTGAAGTGGGTTGCACAGGAAGACAGTTCTTGGCCAGCCTTGCAAGAATTGAATAACTTTCCCTGTGCCTTTTCCTCCACTGGTGGAGTGGATCATTGTTAAATGTCTTACTTCCAATTGCCTTGACTAAGACCAACAAGCACTCAGAACACATGTAAAGCTCAAGTTCACATCTAGTACAAGAAGCATGATCAATATTGACATCTGCTAAACCATTGTTAAATTGATGGTGATTATCCTCTTCACCAGCTTTTGCCTATTCTTCCTCCATCAGCTCAAACATGTTCATGTCAGCATCATCAACACCAGTATCAACACTAGTATCTCCTTCTTCAACTTGTTCCATGGTGATGTTACTAGTTGCCTCCATGGCAGCCAATTCCTCAGCTTCAAGTCTCTTGGACTCAGACTCTTTCATCTGTTCCAGTACTACTTTGCTGCAAATATCTTCTTTGCTTTTTCTTTGGTGCAAATGCCGTTTTTGCTTTCATCATCTTCTCCAATGGATACCAAGCTTGGATACCAAACTCTTGGTTCTTGGGTCAAGGAAGGTAGCAATTGTCAGAATTGGGTGGGTTCCCTCCTGTCTGTTTCTCTGGCCACAATTTGGTGTGAGTCCTTGCCATAATTCATAAACTGCAGCATCATTATCTTTCCAATGGATGCTGAAGTCCTCCAAGAGATTTCCAGTCAGTTTGCCTCCACTAGTATCATCATTCTTTTTCCATTCTTTGAGTGTCTCTTGAATGGTTTTCATTGCCCCACACAACAGACTTGAACTGGTATACTTGTCTCCCTCTAGGATTTTCTGAGCTTTTTTGAATGGCTTCAACACAAGCATGACTTCATTCAGACATTTCCAGTCATCACATGTAAGACCCTGAATGGAAAAAAAATACTACTAATTCTGGTATTTTAAGTGTCCTGCTGGTATTATCTCTTCAGCACGATATGTACTTAACTTCATACTAAAATAATACATTCTTGTATATTCATCATAAGAGAAAAGAATATATATCATAGAGTTGGCAACCAAATGTATGCACCAGTTGCTGTACGTTTTGGGCCCTTATTTTGAGTCTAATGACTACTTTGATTAAAAAAACTCAATCGTAGTACTACTAGTACTAGTAATATACAGCAGGGACCGTGCTCCACTTTTATTCCCACCAGTTGTGCGACCAAATAGTTTTGCTTGCATGTGCCACTATGCGTAAAATATCTGTACTTGTAGTACATTTTGAATTTTTAATCCCATGAGTCATTACACGGTAATTAGATGGCCCAAAATCAACGCACCGTACAAAATACATGGAGGACATTAGTAGTCACTAGTAGGGTTCAACTCACTCAAACAGTTCTAACTTTGTCCCCAACATACAGTTAAGTATGGTAAGCACATGAATCAAATCCCAGTTTAAACATGATTCTAGTCAGATCGTGGGAGAGTTGGGGGGTCAGAGAAGTATTTCAAAGACTTGTTGGCCTCTATGTGAGTGTCTGGGAAGAATTACTACTAGTAATTCTGGTATTTTTAGTGTCCTACTGATATTACTGATGCAGTTGCGATAGCTACTGAAAGTTGGCCTTTTTGGCATATCAATGTGATTTTACTGTCAGTTGGGTTCTGCTGGTCATTTAAAGAAGACCAAACCGGTGGCTATGGAAAGCCAAGAAGATAGAGTTGTTTTTGATGCTATACCTCAAATTAGTACAAATTGCATTCTTATATTGGTCATTTGTATTCAAAAAGCACCATACCATGATTGTCTAAATTTTGGTGTTTGCCATGTTAATAAGGTGTATTTTCATGTGTCAAAAATTAATTTTTAATCATGTACATGCACATTCCTAGATTGTAGTACTGTTTCTACTTATTCTACGCAGTCATATTTTACTAGGGGTTAAATGAAAATATTGAAGAGTGTTAAGTAAATTGTAAGGGGACAATCATACATATTCAGACAGCACAAAAAGCAACGCGAAGTATGGATACCAGATATGGTACGTACCTTACGTAGTACTGTATGATGTCATCACCCAACCATCACCCATCACCAACATCACATCGCCCATCACATCATCAAGGTTTTTTTAAACAATTTTTTAAACAAAGAGGTAAAATGGAAAGACGTCAAAACATTACAGTAAGACTTTTTTGATCACTTGTTTTTTAACCTTCCAAAAGTTTCGGTTCGGTGCAAAACTTGTTTATCACAACGGTACAATAGAGGTGCGACTATCGAACAACAGTTTAGATTTCTTATAGTTCAGAAAATGAATGCGATGGTTGGAAAATTTAGAGGATCAAACGCCGCAACCCTGCTGGTGGGAGGTGCAGCCTTCTTGCGATCTACACTTCATCTTGGTATAAGTTCATCCATAATTCCCACCCTGCTACTCGGAAATGCAAATGCCTCACATCATAATTCTCAAGGTTGTACCAAAAGCTTCTTTACGAAAAGCGTGGGTTGGCATACGAAAGAGACAACCAAAGCAAGAACCAATACTACTATGCCGCAATTGAATCGAGAAAGGAGTCAACAAGAACAACGTCGACGAACGCGGGGGCGTTATCAAGTCTTCCTAGCGGTTGGATCCAACCAAGGAGATTCATTTGCAAGTATAGACACCGGACTTCAGCTCTTATGCGACCCTACTTTTTCGGACGACCCCTACCTTCCCACAGAGCTTGTTCGATCCTCGTTTTTATACTACACCAAGCCAATGTACGTGACGGATCAACCCTCCTTTTGGAATGGTGCCGTTGAACTGGATACCGATTACGATCCACCGTCGTTGTTGCGACGTTTGAAACGTGTTGAAGAGTATCTTGGCCGTAACTTTACACAAATTCGCAACGGACCACGACCGTTGGATATGGATATTCTGCTCTATTACGACAACGATAATATCGACAAAGAATCAAGCGAGGCGATGCCAACATCGGCGTCGGTTCCATTAGTAGTAGAAACACCTAACTTGGTGATCCCACATTGTCGCTTACAGGAACGGGAGTTTGTTTTAGCTCCATTAATAGATGTTGCTGGGAGAAGTTTGATCCACCCAACAAGTTCAACTGCTTCAAGTTCAGGTTCTGAGCAAGAACTAGAAAAGGATACCACCTTGGGCGATATTTTGGATAATCTTGTCAGATCGAAAGAGAATAGTGATGCGGACGAACCCAGCGCAATTCGACTTTTGCCTCTCCCCCGAGAACGATTTCTCTTGTTCGATCGAACGCTGATCATGGGTATACTGAACGTAACCCCTGATTCCTTCAGTGATGGTGGAAAGTGGACGGACGACGTAGATCGAGCTGTGGCACGTGCAAAAGAAATGGTCGAGGAGGGAGCGACGATCATTGATATTGGGGGAGAATCTACAAGACCAGGAGCAACTGAAATTGAAGTTGAGGAGCAAATACGACGAACAGTTCCAGTCATTGAAGCGTTACGGAAGCAATCGAAAGAAGTGGTTGTGTCTATCGACACACGGCACGCTGCTGTGGCTAAAGCAGCTATTGAGGCAGGTGCAGATATCGTAAACGATGTTTCTGGAGGATCCCACGATCCAAACATGCTGTCAACTGTAGCAGATTTGAAGGTGCCTATCGTGTTAATGCACATGAGAGGAACTCCCGAGTCAATGCAAGGCCTCACTGATTACGATGATCAAGGGGGTGCTGTCGATGGAGTCACCAAGGCTTTACTTGATCGATCTCGAGCAGCCGAAGAGGCTGGGATTCCGCGATGGTTACAAATACTCGATCCAGGTATTGGTTTTGCGAAGGATATAGATGGAAATCTCAGTCTACTGAAGCACTATTCGGATCTAAGAATGAAGCTTGGTGATTTTCCGTTGTTGTTGGGGACCAGTCGGAAGGGATTCATCGGAAAATTGAGTGGCGAGTCCGAAGCAGAGAAACGCGATTTTGGGACTGTTGCATCTTGCGTTGCAGCGCTTTGTCTAGGAAAGCGTGGAAATAATAGTTCCCTCGGATGTAATATTCTACGGGTACACAACGTGAAGGGCGCAAAACAGGCAATTGCAGTTATGGATGCCATAATTGAAGCTCAATGATGACAGAGTGATTCATTTAACCGATATTTAGTCGAGGTACAAACATGATTACTAGCTCCAGCTGACTCTAGAGTCTTTGAAAACAAATTTAAAGAATGCGTCATAAACATAGAACGCTAAGATTATATTCTCCACTTGGACGTCTTCGCCTACTAGTATCCAAAGTATGTTTTGAGCCATTAAATAACAAGACGATGCATTTCTCGGAAGTGCCGTATTACTTCTTTCTCGGGTATGTGCCACGCCAGAGTAAAGCCGGGTTTCGACAAAACATGATCAATGGTCGGCAATACTTTTTGATCCATCTCGTGAAACAATACTAGTCAAGCTTGGTTCCTTGCCCACCGCCGAATGAGTGACTCGCGTTCAATGCATCTTCTGATGCCTTTTCGTCACCAAGTAGTCCAAGGACGATGCTATACCTCCACCATTCCTCAGGCGAGTTTGGACGCAACGTCACTCCTCTACTACAGATTGAACGCGCAATAGAGAGGCTTTCATAGTCCCCGCATTTGCAAGCTGCGTAAACCACAGCGTGTTCCAGAAACGGCCGTACGTCGAACTCCCAGCCTTGAAAGCCTGAAGAGAGAGTCGCTTTCATGATGTCATGATCGTCTTCTCCAGTCGGATCGTAAATGCCGTCGATGGCAGAGGAAAGGAGTTTCAACACCGTTTTCCATTCTTCTCGTCTGGTTTCTTCTACAACAGGCAACCAGAAGTCGGGTTCCTTGTCTGCAACGATTTCTTTGAACAGTATGGTGCTCAGATAATTAGCATTATCGCCATCTCTGGCACTATCGTTTGGATCATCGTCGTTGATGGGAACCACAACATTGCCTAGATTCAAGAGTTCTCCCATTTTGTGCAATCCATCTTGAAGTCGACCACCAGCACCTGGCAATTCACCTACAACATGGGGGTTCACAACGAGCGAGGCAGCCGCACATGCGATCGGATAGAATTCTAAAGCGGAGCTTATTCCAGAGTCTTTCCTTCCCTTGTTGTATCTACTATTGATTTCTAAGTAGACAGACCACGCGTTCCGCAAGTTTTCCCACCGATAATTCGAAGATGATAGAGTGCCATTCAATGTAAAGCGAAGCAAAAGCAAGGTTGCATCGGATAGAAATTGCGGTGTAGGGGGTAACCATGTTAAAACGTCTTCCATTGAATACTTCCAGTCTCCCGTTTGCAATGAGGAAGATATGTTCATAACATCACTTGGTTCCAAGTCGTTCCCATCGACACGCTCTTCCTGAGACACGATCTCGCCAGCGCTGGAATTCGACTGCGCATCTTTCTTCAAGCGAGCTTCTTCCACGGCCTTCCGCTGTTCCTTTCCAAAAACCTCCGCCATAAAGGCTTGAGCTCGATTAGATTTCTCGAACTTCGATCGTCGCCAACCAATAGGAGCTCTTCGGTGAGGCTCATCGTGTAAGATCCCCCGAGAGAAACCAGAACCCTCGAGAATTCCTTCGTAGTTAGTGTCGTATAGACGCAAAGCAGGGCTTCGGCCTCTTCCCCGTTCTTCTCGATCCAAGGCAAAACGAACTCCGTATCCAGCCAAAACTACATCAAACATTAAAAATCCACAAGCTTCGTAATGGACGGATCCGTCGTTGTTGGCACAGGCACTGATGCCCTCAGCGGTGCGTCCTTCTGCATCAAAAACGTGTGCCAAAGCCCAAGTTGCCATTCCACCCGCTAATTTTTCTCCTTTTTCACGGACGGCCTCTGCTAGTGGCTCTGCTTCGGATCGACGTCCTCCAACGGCCAATCCCACTGCAATTGCCGCAGAGACCGTATTGTAACCCGGAATGGAAGGCCGAATCATACCTCCCTTTCGTTCGTTCCAATACGATGCAACCGCCGACGCGCCTCGGAGGGCTACCTGAGAATCTCCCAGTGTGTGACAAACGTCCAGTAACAAACTAAGTGCCAATGCATCACCGGGACAGACCACAACATGCCTATACAGCACCATCATGGCTCGTCGATGGTCGTTGCGGAGTAAACATTTGAGTGCCGTCAGGTGGGTCACTTCTCGAGGTGTCAACGAGGGCAATGCGGTTGCGGAATCGTCGCCATGATTGTGTTCATCCTCTAACACAGCAACTGCTTTCTCGGCCAAAGCAATCAATGATATCGGTTGCTMTAAACGCTCCACTCCAGCATCAACGTGCTCGAGTATCTGATCGAGGTGGTGAACATATGCTGCTCCAGACTGAGCTAACACAGGAGCAACAGCCGCATGAATCAACATGGGACAACAGCATGGTCTAGCGGGAGAATCATAGTTGTTCCAAACAGCAGCATAGCGAATCAACTCAGACCATGCTAGTGCTGCTGAATGATAGGCTTGAGCGTTCATTCCCATTTCTTCTCCTCCCCCCGTAAATGCCTTTCCCTTTGAAACAATGCCGATCAAAAATCCATCGAGGGAAGCTACGGCAGCTTCAACATCGCTGGTATGATCAATTCCACCACCACCTTCGAGAAATGTGACAGGCTCTCCGAAAAAGTCAAGATGGATTTGGGCCCCTTTAGGAAGCTCTGCTAGAGCTTGTTCTATAGGATCTAGAACTGGTGGTAGTTGTTGCTGCCGTCGTCTTTGCCGTTTGTGGTTCTCCTCGTTGTGTCGAAGATTTTCTTCTTCCGATGATCCTGAAGTGAAAGATGACAGAGCACGCCGAGAGCGATCTTGGCACCGGACGTGACCGTGCGAACCGAGCTGGTTCCAACGTTGAAGAGGGGATAGAGTTCTTGGATCTTTTATCATTAGGTCGATGCTGCCAAGCGCATGAAACCCACAGTCCCAAGAACGAAAATTCCGTCGAACGTTGCGACCGCAAATGTATTCGTAGACGCGCCGTGAAAGCAACGAGTTTCTGAACGAAACACCTGTCATTATTTTTGTCGGCCTTGCAATTCGATTGGCTTCGATATTGTTGATTCCTGATCCGTTCGTGCTGGTCGTTAGCTGCTCTTACTGAGTGATACCAACCCCAATGACAATGGTTTAAAACTGTTTCTGATGTTAGTGTTAGTGTTGACTCTCTTGTTTTCGTAGCCAATGCGACGCTAAACTCAAGCTACACTTGCTTTCGTATGCACCTCTCAGGAAGTATTTTGATGTATTATTGAATCTAAATGAGGCTATGGTGTATGAGCAAAGGATATTCAGCTGATGTTTCGATAAGACAGGTTTTGAATGAGATTTGTCGTTGTCATGAGATGGGAATGATTTGGTTCTTTGGTTTGTTCCCTGTTGAAGGGTTCTCGTACGTTGCACGGACCTCACAAACTACCGTACGTACAGTGCAGTAATCTAGTTATGGTAGTATGGTACGTACTGTACCCTCATACCTGTACAAGTAAGCCTGCCTGTGAGGTGTTGCCGAATTAGCTCAATTAGCAGAGCGGACTACTCCTCATCATGAGGTCGAGGGTTCGATCCCCCCATTCAACGCCGTGTTTTGTCCAGGAGCAAGAACTGACATCGTTTTCTATTCTGCACATGTTTTCGCCTCCACTCCGAGGAGGCTGTCGGGGAATAATTGAGCCAGGAGTCAGAATTGCATTTCGTTCTCTTGACCGATTTTTCGTCAGAAAAAAATCAAAATAGGATACAACCTTGAAATTACCACCAAGATAATTCCTAATGGAAGAGTGGACGTTATCACTGTAGTTGAATCACCTCATTGGTAACATTTGCGCCGACTTTTGATGAAAATTGTTATTATTTCTCGTAGTCTTTGGGACTGGCAAGGAAACAGAAAGAAAAAAGAACCAAAGAAGACGAAGTATCGACACACACTCCTCATTCCGCACTAGATATTTTCTTAACGGGTCGGAAACGCATTAGACAGCCTGCACGGAATTTGAACACGAACACACACAAGTACACGACTATGACATTATACGCACACGCACTTGCTCTCTTCCTCTCTCTGGCGGTGTTCGTGACGGAAGACATGGCCGTTCGTGCATGGATCCAATGCTCGGAGGAAGACGGAGGGGGGATGTGCCCGGATTTGGCAACCTGCTGCCCCACAGGGATACCCGGCGTCTCATCGTGCATTTCCGGGACCAAGCACGATCCAGATGGCGGGCGGGGTGAGTGCTGTGATCCGGAAGGAACGAATGGATGTCCCTACGGGTACGTTTGCGCTCGGAAAGGAGGAAGCAACAGCTTCCATGCTGGCGTCGACACGCACGGAAATACCAACCCCAACTATCACTACCACCACCGACAACAACAACAACAGCAGCAGGAAGAAAATCGTTCCCGCGCCATCTGCAAGCGTCGGGAACCACATCCCCGTGATCTCAATGCCAAAGAAACACCTCAATACAAACTCTGCCGGCTTCCGTCCTCTCCCGAGGTGCTACAACTGCAGGCCTTTCCCATCGACGACAAGTTCAATGCAACCTATTACTCTAGCATGGGATCAATATTGCCCCCGAGTGCTATCGCTGCAAACAACGAGAACGACAATGATCCTTCGATCTACATGCAAAAATTTTCTTCGATCGAAACGGTCCTGGTAATTCAGCACGGATCGGGGCGCAACGCCGATGACTACCTGTGCGCAGGCATTTCTGTAGTGGCGTCTGCGGCTGCCGGTGGCAACACCACCAGAGATAATGAGAAAATACTTGTGATCGCACCCAAATTTGTTGCCGATGTCGATCACGACGATCGAGACCGCAATCCAAACACGCTATATTGGTTGGAGCAAGGCGCGGATGTTCCCCTCGGGTACGTACAAGTGTGCGCTTTGTGCGCTGTGGCGTACAGAATTGTGCACTATTTTATGCCAACCGATTCAAAAGTCTACGAAGCTCAAAAAGCTGTGCTCTATAATGCTATGCTATTCGAGGGCCTGTTAGTTCTTGCTTCGTTTTCTCATACTTTGCTCCTCGTGAATGTTCGCCAAATCAATCGACTAAATTCAAACCCAAAATTATTCCCAAATATATCAATGGTGCACTATAATGGATACCCGACTCACAGCCATACATGGAGATATGGAGCCGATGCCGCAAACGCATGGAGTCCTGGCGACAGCGGTCTTCGTCGGCAGGGTATCAGTAGCTACGACGTGATGGACCGCTTGTTGGAATATTTGATTGGTTCCAAACTGCACGGAGAAGATCAAAAAGTGTCGATGATGCGGGGTTCGACCCATCAAGAACAGAGAGAATCTTTTAATTTTCCAAATCTAAAGCGAATCGTTGTGGCAGGACACTCTGCTGGTGGCCAATACGTCCACCGATGGACTCTGTTGTCGTCGAGCAACATTATTTGGGGCAATGATAGTGACTACACTAGAAGTAGTCGTGACCACAGCGTAACTGCAAACGGCAGGTACGGAAAAGCAGAGAATCGAAAGGTTGAGGTACGAGCAGTGGCGGCAAATCCCCGAAGTTACTGTTATCTTGACAATCGCCGAATCATTAAGAAAGGGGCTGATTTTAGCAACACTGGCGTCGACCACTATGGTGGTAAGATCATCGAAATTGACCAGAGGAGAAATAAAAGCGTCGATAACAATACAGAAACAAGCATTGGGGTCAATGGTAGTACAGATGACAGGCCAGACTACACCTTCTCTATACCGGACCAGAAGGACATTCAATCTTGTCCTACGTATGACCAGTGGCAATGGGGGTTGCAACCGGGAGGAGATATTCTCTCTCCTTACAAAGATGCCGCCCTTGAACGTGCAAATAGCAACAGAACGGCAATTGCATTGCGATATTCAAAACGCAAAGTATTTTATTTAGCTGGTGAACACGACAAGATCGAACAAAAAGATCGATGCGAGACGTACAACTTTCAAGGTGACACGAGGAACGAGCGTGCGAGGCGGTACTTCTGGGCACTGACCGAGTATTTTGCTTCAAATAGAAACGATGGTCGTTCTCATTTGAATCGCCATGTTGGTACCAGTATTGTTGAGACTAGCAGAGACACCACGTTGGTTCACGAATTTCACCAAGTGCCTGGTAGTCCACACGACCACACTCTCATGTTTCAAAGTGCACCTGGATTGAAGGCTTTCTTCGGAAATATTCGTCGCTACAAAATGAACGAGAACGATGTAAATTGAGAACACGATAATTTGTGGTGAAAAAATTCTATAACGTGCTGATTTTCGTAGTAACGAAAAGAGCAAAGGAGAGCTATCTGCAATTGGAAATCAGAAAGCCACATTCGAAAGAGAACATTTGGCTGTCATCGCGTTTCCAAAAGAGTGGTTTGATTGTGGTGGTGCACGATCTGTTCTTGTTAAGTTAATTCATTACGTGTCTTCAAAATACCGCGAACCAAAAATCAAAATAATTATCACTGCTGCATTCATACAATATGATATTATATACTTCCCTTTTCCTACTTTCATTCATATTCCTCTAGCCCAAGAAGATACACATGAAACTGATAAGTTTTCATTCGTATAAAACAAACCATGGTGTCTGCGCAATTATTTTCTCCTATCATAATCCTATTCATAGATCAAATTTTTCAAGCCTGGTGTATCTACAGGACACAATGTACTGCGGAAGAAAAACTCATCTGCTTCAGAATCGTAATGTTCTTTCTTTGTGTATGCGAGTTGCGACTGCTGGGCAAATTCCTTTAGAGTCTCGAGCGTGACGATTTCTTGGTAACGAACATAGGCTGCATACCATTCCTTACTATACTTTTCTAACTCTTCCATTTCAGAGTGCTCGGCTTTCGAGCACACCCAGTCTTCGTAGGCGCCACAGTATTGATTCAGACTATAAGCAGCTAATCGCCATACCCAAACTAACGCGCGGTATTCAAGGCCATCACTGCCACTTTTCAAAAGAAGACCTTTATCATGGGTGTCTTTATCATGGTTAGACTCCATTTCCTGAACTGCGGCTTCCAATACATCGTGAGCATCTCCGTCATAATCATGATGCGATAGCGCGAGAAGTCTACAAGTGGAGATAATTTGGCTCACACCTGAATCAACAGAAATTTGTAATTTTCCGTTGCTATTCATGCTTCGGTCAAGAGCAGGAAAGGAAACAACCCAATCCTCGTACCTATTTACGATTGATAACAATGCCTTGCGCTTCAAACGTTTGAACCTCAATGCTAATAAATCCCCATCAGTAACACATTCCTAAAACCAATCAGAGACACGAAAATAAATAAGTCAACGTCAGCGAGAATTTTCACAATATAATGGGCATGAAGTGCATACTTTTGTGATGACCAGTTAACCAAACATAGTGCACTCTTTCACATACACTATATCCATCATCTTGCTGTAGATACGTGATGATTTGGTATTTCTGAGCTTCCATGTACGTTTTCTCGGGTACAATTCTCACATCGATGACCTGATGAGATCCTAAACGGACAGATGTGCGTTCCGAATACTCTCCGTTTACGAAACCAAATTTTGGGTAAAGACTTTCAAACATGAGAATAGACATTGAGAAGAGTTAGTACGAACTAAGACCTCCGCAAATTTAATACAGAAGAAAATGCCAGATATTATACATTCGTATTCACTTACTCCGCCCTGTCGCCTTGCGTACCGAATAGCTCGGCCCCTTTCCTAATGCTTTTACTAGCGAAAGCAGCGAATTTTTTGGATTCTGGATCATATTGATATTTCATGTTGCGTTTTTTATCGTTTGAGCTGAACGCATCCAAAACGGGAACCATCGCTCTGGCTTTTCCCTTTATGTCAACTCCAAATTGCTTCTTGTACCATTCGACTTCCTTGAGCGGAGCATCTTCATCACTTATCGAACCAACTTCAAAAGCTCTAGTTTGAACATTTAGACGTGCTGCAACGTATTCATGAAAAGATATAAAATTTTCGAACTCAGTAGAAGAACGAGCAAATGCTTCGTACTCAGATTTGATTTCTTCTTTTTTCCGTGAAACTATGAAGTAGATATGGGTGTGAGAGCCATATAGTGACGCCAATTCTATCTGATCAAATGTGACAGGATGATGCTGTCTAAAATCGTCATAAGTTGGTAAATTTTCCAAATAGATGGAAGAAATTGTATGCTTCCGCTCATTATCAAACGGATTGTGTTTTGAGATATGTCTCTTTAACAGCATTGCAATGTATGCAGCAAGGAACGCCTCCTCACTTAAAAATGCGTTTGTCTTTAAATGCCTTACTCCGACTAGATTCTTTTTTACGAAATCGTCACGAAAGGCATCTAGTGTCCAGATTTGCATCTCTCTGTGGATTTCGAATAATTTAGATTGCTTTTCCAGTCTCCGTCCTGAAAATAGACTTCCATTCCTCGCAAATAGAACATCTTCCTCGCAGTTCCCGTTTTGACAAGCCAAATGGACCAGACTTTGAAGAGACGAATCGAGATTGATGGGATCTTGGATTGCGGACGCATGTCTCAAATCAAGTTTATGTACCAGCATATATTTCTTTAGAATAGCAGCCGAAGCTGCAATTATGCCAATAAGAAAATAGACCTTTACGTTCGCGTCATAAGAAATTGCAGGAGAAGAAACTAGTTTCGGGTTTGATCTTCGTGAGACGACGTTTTTTGGTTTTGTCTTCGACTTGACATTGCTGTTTCCACTTGACTTCTTTTTGGCCATTCTCGTTTTTTCTTGCACAATGGAAATGGTGTGAATTGTTTAGGTTTATCACTTGATGTGAACCGATGATCAATTGAAGTACGTACCATCCATTACTGTACTCGTAATAGAAGAAAATATCAGTAGTATTTTTTTTTTTGCAACACAAACGAACCATCCGTAGGTATGAAAGTCGTTCGACTAATAGTACGGGTTCGAGTATCGCGTAACGGTGAGAGTACGTACATACTGGTACAAGGTGTAGGTGATACTTTCGTTAGTGCATGTCACATACGGTAGGAATGCATGCAATCAGTAGTGAACAAAATGCCAAAATTCAAATTGCTCGATTTTGTGACCGTATGATCATCATCATGCGCGAAAAGATAGAATTTACAAAAGTGAGCAGGCCTCATGAAAACCGTTTTATACCGTTTCGTAATGATCATGAACGTAAATGAATACTTGTATGAACATATCCCACTTTTTGAAACGTTTAACGAAATCGTTAATCGCCAAATATTTTCGGAAATCGGGAACTTGAAAGCTATTGTTGTCATTTCACCGACTAAGCGTTGTAAAAGCGAAATAAATCTGAAACCCATTCGATATCATACTATTTCAAAACTTCAATACTTGGTCTAAGTTATCATTCAACATTAGTATTAGTTGAAAAGAGATCCCTAACTATGGCAGCTGTAGACACTGGACTCTGGGGTCCCGAAACGAGGACTGCGAAGACAGGAAAGGAGTCTAAAATCGAGGCTTGGTGGGAAGTGAGAAGAGCGGGACCAGCTGAGCCAGCGCCTACTAGAGGCGCCACTCCGCTCGTTGAGAGATGCATGCGAGTTCACAGTTTCAGCGAGGACTTCGCAAGACGTGTCCTCAAAGGTTACCGTCAGTTCATGGAACTGAAATCGGTTATGAATGATTGGCAAGAATTGAAGTTGGCTCCTTCTAATCCAATCAAGCAAATGTGGGAGTTGCATTTACTTGATAATCTGAATTACACCGAAGATTGTCTTCTTCTGTTTGGTCGTGTCATCGGTCACAATCCTGACGCCGTTCTCGACGGAGCAGCAATGCGGGAACGTATAATGACTACGCAAATTGCTTTCCAGGCGCGATACGGTGATGATCTGGATCAAGACGTTTGGGACTTTGGTGACGATTGGAACAAAGATTCTATGGCTCAACCATCTTTGAATAAAAAGTTTGATTCTCTCGAAGTGTCTTCTCGTGGACGTCTTCCAGTCGCTGGTCGAGGTGATGATATGAGCGCCAGCCGTGGTCGCGCGTCTTCGAAGGGACCTGTCTCTCCGCGTAGAGTGAATGCAGCGAAAACGCCTACTTCAGCTTCTCCCGGAGGGAACGAGCCAATTACCATCTTCCTTCGGGACCAGAGCACTGGTGAAGAAACGTACTTCTCTTTGCGATACAAGAGTACATTGCGTATTGTCTTCACAGTGTTTGCCGAACGACGTGGATTGAATCAAGATTCTCTTAAGTTCAACTACAACGGACAGCAACTAAACGGATATGAGACTCCTCACAGTCTCGCTCTTGAAGACAGAGCACGAATTGATGTATCAATCACACGATAGATATTTGCATTGGTTGCAACAGCTGACCGAATAGCATTAGCGACGACGGTAAGAGAGGAAGGTCTCCTACAAAGTGGATAGACCCAAAGGCTTCTGCATTGAAGCAAATTGATATCTCCTCCATGTATTTATGATTATTAATTTGTACCAGATTATAACAGAATTTTCGAAATGTGAGGAACCTGTTTGTTGGCTCTTGTAGTAGATCGTCTTGGTGCAATAAGGAAGTTATCCAATACAAAATTGCCGGACGAAGTTCAATCAGGTTTTCCGCGAAAAAATTGCGAGATTTCTTTTGCAGGAATCGAAAGCCTTACTGTATGGTATTAGTAGAACGACGGGTTTTGTTATTGTAGACATACACTTCATTTACCGCACCATATTGATGACGGTAGGTTGACTCATGTTCGGAGTGAAAGAAAGAACTTCTTCATATATTGGTCAACGCAGCGAAAAATCAAATATAACGATATTAGTTGGTCTTGTTTGTAGTGAAATAAATAAAAACAAATTCTTCTAGAGCTTTAATTTTTCATAATGTATAACATAAATTGTTTTATCTGCAGTGATGCCGTAGCACTTAAACTTGCTCTTCGGCACTAACGGAATTAGGGGCTTCCTCAGGGGCTTCCTTTTCGTCTCCGGGTTCTTCTGTGAGAAGACCAGTGTGCTCCTCCAACGATTGAATCTTCGCTTTCAACGCTTCCATATCCGATGGGAGGTCTTCAATGGCAGTGCGGCGGGTCTGGCGCTTGGCCATGCATTCGGCAATGCTATTCTTTCCTCCAGTGAATTGGAACCAGTAAATGAAATAGATGATTCCTCCCAACAAGAAAATAGTGACAAGTGATCCCAAGGTGGTCAGTCCAGTTGATCCTTGGGTGAAGAGGAGGGAAATTCCCAACAAGGCCAAAGGAATTAAGAAAAAGGCGACAAGGATGTACACAATGGGGACACCACGCCACGTTCGTGTAGCTTTACCCAAGTGTCGTGCCGCGTTAAGCGGAATATTTCGCATAAATGGAACAGGATACCAGACAATGATACCAGAGATGTTGAAAAACAAGTGTGCAAGCGCAACCTGCAGGGCTTCAGTTGTGGAAAGAAGGGCAGCAAGAAGTGCGGTAATGGTGGTTCCAATATTCGCTCCGAGAGTGATGGGGTACATCTGTTCCAACCGAATGACTCCCAATCCAACGAGAGGAGTAAATGTGGAAGTGGTAATGGAAGAAGACTGGACAAGAATGGTTACACCTACACCAATAATCATTGCGAGGTATCCGTTGATATTTGTGGCCTTGTAGATGATGCGTGAAGAAATTCCCATGAGCATTTTTTGGAGCATGGTGACCATTCCGAACAGACATACGAAAAGAATGATCAATCCAAGAACAAAGGCAGCAATTCCGGAAACTTGATCGTCGGCGAGAGTTGCGTTGGCATCGAAGAATGCAGGGCATTTTCCAGTTCCCTTGTCACAAGCGATGATTCCAACACGCGAGCAAGTTTTCTTAGTAGGAGCACTCATGTCCTCACATTCAATAGGGTAGTATTCTTCGCAATTTCCTCCCTTGGCGACATCCTTGATGACGTTCTTGTTCGCAATGATGATCTTCTTGGTTAGTGGTCCGACAAATTTCTTAATAGGACCGACCCATTTTTCTCCATCACGGGCGGTGAAATTTCTGACACAGAGACCGGTCAACCAGTTCAGGTATCCAGTGATAAGTTCGACAGGGAAGAAAATCGCGACGGTCAAGAAGTTGAACATGTCATGAACGGTGGCTCCAGCGAAGGCGCGTTCAAGTTGATCTCCATCTCCCATTTGTCCCATTGCGACAATAGTATTGGTGACTGTCATGAAGAGACAAAAATGTCAAAGCAATGTCAGAGTGAAGAAATTTTTAGCAGTGTACCAAAGCCGTCGTCGTTATTTACGTACCGGAAGTACCGATGTTGGCTCCCATGATCATGTAGATACCCTGGTTGACGGAAACTGAACCAGCTCCAACGAGGGAGACAACAATGGACGTCGTAGTGGAAGAAGATTGAAGGAAAACAGTGGCCAGAATACCGATCATGAGTCCAGCAACGGGGTTTGTGTCGTCGCCGAAAAGTGATCCGGCGGCACATCCTCCCATGACCTTGGCCCCAGATCCGAGAAGATCAAGACCAAGCAAGAAGAAGTAGAGGAAGAAAACCACAACACAAACTCCAATGAAGATAAGTCCCCATTCCTTGGGACTGTGGACACAGCAGGATTGCAATACCTCTCCCCATGTGGCATCTTCAGGAATGTCTTCCTCGGTGAAGGCGGCTCCCTTAGGTTCCTCCTTGACAGGGGTTTTCGTTTCAGACATGGTTTTTTTTTTCTAGAAAAGTGGCCTTAGAGTTTTGTGTGGTTAAGGAGTGTTTTCTAAGATGTTGAATCTTCAATTGTGAGAACGACATGCGGTAATCGAAAATCGAACTTTTTGCCACAACAATGTAAAAATCACAGTGCAGTTACTCTTTTTGTTGGCTTCGGCAAGGATCGTGAAAATTAGACCCTCCACTGAACCACATCATGATTTTTTTGCGAATTTGCAAAATCCTGAAATGAATCTTCATGGGTGGTCCCCATCTGGTTATCCTACTGTACCGTACGTACTAGATATGGTGGTTGATTGTTGCAAGCACTTTGTAATATCATACGGTGGGATCCATGAGGTCAGACGAATGACGAATGGTGGGAGAAGAAGATTTACATACCGTACCGTACGGCAAAGGTACTGCATGGACCTTTCCTGAAGATTCATCGATATTCAAATGAATGTGGAATGAATCTCGAGGGTGCTTGCCGAGAATATAATGACTCGACCTGAGAGATGAACAAAAAAATTAATATTGCCCTGAGGATGGAAAAAAGTAGAAGTACTTCGTACCGGTACGTACTAAGGGCTTCACAACGGTTCTGTCTTTAAGCTGTGGGGACCCTAACAGATTGTACCTCCTCATGGGAAAAGAATCAGGAGGAGCAGTTTCGACTCCGCGGGAACGTGTGTAACCCCTATCAATGTATATATGGATCGAAAGCTTATAACAAGATGAATATAGCCATGGTGTTAATTAACGTATACAATATAAAATTGGCTTTAATTTGACCTTTAAAGTTTCGGTTAAGGCATATATATTCTAACGGTACAAACAGAAAAAAGCACGTGTCATCMAAAAATTTCAAGCTAGTTTTTGTTAGTCACGCGCGCAAGTCGTCCTTCAGAGAGGGGAGTCGAAATAACGGCAGGCATATCTAAAACTGATTATTTCTACTAACTATTGAAAAATACATAGGCTGCCCTTTTTTGGGAAGCTTCTTCTCGATGGCAAGTCATTGCTTGACAATGACACTGCAAACTAGTCATAGTACTCTTTTTTCTGCATCTTTTGATATGTCGAACACTGTCAGACAACTACTGGTTGCTGAGATGGAGCTTCCCGAAAAAGGGCACGCGCGAATCGTTAAAAACTCTTATTCTTTTCCCATGAGGAGGTAGACAAAAAATTAGACACAAGAATCTGCCCTCATCAAACAAATCCACCTCAACATGACCATGGGAATTACAATATCTCAAAAACCAAAGCATTATAAGACAAGCCAAGGGCACTGTTGCAGAGCACTCACTCTTCTTAGTAACAAGGTAGTAGTAGCCAAATAGTATCATTGTTGTTCTAGTAATGGACGGTGGGTGGTGAAAGAAGAACTCCTGTTGGTATTTTACTAACTACTAGTCGTACTAGTAGTACTGATCTACTAGTAGCTAGTATGAAATAGAAGTAGTAGGGCGGATCTGTAGTAAGAAGTTTTTGGATTCAGCGAACACAGCAACAAAAACACCAGGAAGGGAGCTTCCCTTTAAAATTCCAACTGGTTGGCTGTAACAAGAATACCTAATTAGTACTAGTATATCTACATCTTATCATCATGATTGGGGAAGATTGGGTTGTGAATTAATTTGTGACAAAGGGCTCTCTTGATCATTTCTTGTTGCTTCTCGTTGCTTCATGTTGCAACAATAATTTTTGTCCTACGTTTTCCAAACACAAAAACCAAGTGACTGGTGAGAGCCATCAGAACTGTTCAGGAACTGGCTCTCATGTCCTCCCCTTTGGGGATATGCTTGGTTGTCATAGTCGTGTTGGGGAGGTGTTGGTGTGCAGGTGTACTCCTAATGAATTGCTCCAGATTGGCTGTGATTCTCATCTCACAGCAATAAGTGCCAAAAATTGCTACTGCTCAAACAAGCTGTGTGTTATAAAATAGGCCAGCAAATGACCAAAAACAACCCTAGACCACTGGACTAAGCACCCAGTCCTTATTGATACTATAATCACTTAGATGACTGTTTCATTGGGAACCCATTGGATGCTATGCTGGCTTAGAATGAGCTCACCAAAGTTACAGTAGCTGGTGGCCAAATTTCCATGTAAGATACAGGGCCCAACAGAACCTACATTATAAATTCTGTAACTGTTGTATGAAGCATTGGCATCCTGGCCACAGGTGGTTCAATGTCAAACATGAATATGAGCACTGCTGAGTCTATGCATTTCCTGTCATACCTGTTCAAAGTTCACAGCATATAATGAGGATTCATCATATGATTTAGACATTGGTTACAACCAGGCAATATGTGCCAAGATTGGGGGTTGAAATCCTTGCTTTGTTGCCCTTTAGAATTCTCCTTGGAGTGAAGCACCACCCCTCAGAGCAGCCAGGAGCATTCTTCTATCAGAAGTTCTGGTCCTTGCCCACATAGTGCCTCTTTTACTTCACACCAAGGTTAAACATAATCTAAAGATTTTATTTTTGTTCACAGTTCACATAAGTTTTTTCATGTGGTGATATGTTATTTTAGTCATAGTAGTAGAACAATTACGATGCTATTCCACTTTGTCCCATGCCCCCAACTCATTGGTTTTTATCAGATTTTTTATTTCCTTTGCTCCCTGGTCCTCCCTCCTCTTCTAGTTCCTCTTCAAGATCCTCTTTGTGTTTTTTGGTCTGACAGGCCATGATGCATAAAAAATGAGAGGGAAAAAGTAGGAGGAAGATGATGGTACTGCAACTACAAAAGAGGTGGATTGTTGGGATTATATGGATACTACAAACTACTAGTAGGAGCATCAGAATCCTATTCAGAGCCTTTATGATTACCATGCATACACACTTTTGCTTGTGGGAAGGGAAAAAGCTCTGGCAGAAAAGACTGGAACCATTGTGAACAACATCATGGAAGGCACAAAGGGGAATCTCGCCCACCTGAGGCTGGATGTAGTAGAACTTAATCACATATTAATCAAGGAAAGACAGCAAAACCTAAAACACACCAAGCACATATGATTAGGTTTTCAAAAGGAGAAAAAGAATTGTCTCCTATTGTACTGCCAAAGGTGCAGAGTTACTTGTTGTTGTGACTGCTCCAACAATTTTCACATGCTAGCAAAGGATCTAATGCAAGTCAACCTCAACTTAACATGCCACTGTCTGATGCGAGGAGACTTGTCCACAACAAGAAGGTATGATTGGGGGGGCTGAAAAACAGAAGAAAAGCAGTGGAGGGGCAGATATCAGATCTTGTCTGAAGAATAGCACTTACAGGGTGTCACCAGAAGATCAACTACCCCTCCAGAATGATCCATTTCAAGAACTCAGAGCCACTGAGAACAATGAGACACTTGGGGTGAATGGCAAACCTACCAAAAAGATGCTGGACAGATGCCTTGATCACATGCCAATGAAGTTCAACAAGACAAAATGTACCATTCACAGATGTTTGGGTTTCAGAAAGGAGGGACAAGACAACCTGTTGTACTGCATGGCCTGCAGAGTTCCTCTGTATCATGTTTGTTACAACGCCAACTGTCACAGATTGAGGGATCTTACTGAGAATAAGTATTGGTTGAAGCAAGAGTGTCTGGAGCTAAAGGAAACACCAAACAAGGGGTACTGGGAAGAAGAGGAGAATTGACTAGTATGTACTTGGCCTAGTGTAGATGCTATATTCCAATGACAGTTGTGGGAGTGACTGTCCTAAAAGTGATGTAAAGTGTGTGCTAGTAGAAAAGTGAGTCGATGCTCTTATCGAGGATTGACGAACTATGAAATCTAGAATGGATCGCTATGGGGATCGAGTGAGATGTGAATCGAATGAGTCAAGTCACTMACGCAAGTGAATGAGATGAGTCACGTCGATCATATGAATCCTAGGGGATCACGTGAGTCATATATGTATGGTGTGTATGAATCGTAGATACGTATCGTATGTACGT